AGTGGACCTTGAACAACTACCATATTGCTATAAGAAAAGGATTGAAAGTGGTGGGAAACTGTGGGGAGGGGGGTGGAGGGTTGGGGAGGTGGGATTGACAGTAGTCGATATCTGCTTGGGGAAGTGGGGGCATACCTCATCGAGAAGGGTAGCTACACAGTGAATATTTGTATACCTAGCCCTGAACTGTACCCCACATTTTAAAATAAAAATTAAAATAGGAAAAAAGAAAATGTCCTAAGGCAAATGCAGAAGATCAAGTCACTGGGCTTGCAGCTTCTTGTTCTGACTTGGGACAGTGGGCTCCAGAGAGGGCCTAGAATGTCCTAAGAGCAGCCGGGAATAGAATTTCTTCATCATCCAAATACAAAGCAAACTTTAAACTTCATACAGGAATTGTCACGGTTAAAGGAAAATGCTGGAGCCAAGGTAGGAAATTTTGGTCCTCATAACTGACTTGAAATTTTATAATCTGGCGGCTAAAGATGTAGTCATTCCACATTCCCTGTTTTTACTATTTTTCACTATTTTGGCCTGCAATATAATGCATCCGATGTATGTCTATTCACTAATTTTGGTGTGGCCCTTTAAGCATTAGAAGCTAACAGTAAACCGGGGCACAGTGGCTCACACCTGTAATCCCAGCACTTTGGGAGGATGAGGCGGAAAGATCACTTGAGGTCAAAAGTTCAAGACCAGTCTGGGCAACATAGCAAAACTTCATCTCTCTCTCAAAAAAAAAAAAAAAAAAAAAAAAAATATATATATATATATATATAGAGAGAGAGAGAGAGAGAGAGAGAGAGCCAAGTATGGTGGTGCACGTCTATAGTTTAGCTTAGGAGGTTGAGCTGGGAGGATCACTCGGGCCCAGGAGTTAGAGGCTACGGTGAGCTATAATCATGCCATTGCACTCCCTTATGGGTGACAGAGTGAGACTCCGTCTCTCTAAACAAACAAAAAAAGTGAACAGGGAAAAGGGGTATCTTAGTGGAGTAAGTCATTATAGATAGTCTTGTTTTCCAGTTTCATTTCAATGAATGATGGTCTGCTCATTTTAATTTGTCATACAAAGAAGCTATTGAAGTGGAGGAATATTTTCTTGTTCTCATATTGAAGCCAAATGAGCAAAACATTAAAGAATAGTCATTGAAATTGTTTCCAAAATAGAAAAATTTCTCCATAATTTTGTCATTCTTGTTCCTATTTATATTTTTTGTGGAGACTGAGTTGTGGTTGTCATAGCAATTCCTTTCCTACATGAAATTCTGACACTTAGATTTTTACTGCTTGTACCTCATAGCAAGAAAAGACCTATGCAAATTCAAGTATTTCCTAGTAAATGATATTACATGATGCCTGACCAGAGCTGACCTTTATTTCATCACCCTAATAGTTGCTGACCTCTGAATAACAGGATTTGTTAGGATTCCATTTTGATGGTCTGAGAAGTAGTCTTCACGAGCAGGGCGGTTTGGAGAGAAAGGTCTGTGAATGTTGGTACCCACCACCCTTCCCTCTGCTTTTAGTGCCATCAGTGGTTCTGAGGCCCTTGGGAATGTCCTTTGTGTCTGTATACAGGTGGTCCTGGCTTAAATACCAAAAATCTTCCTGGATTTTATTTAGCTTTCATTCTCCCATCCTTGTTTCTTTCTTTTTTGCTTTCATATTTTTTCCATGCAGTTTTCAGTGCTATTTCGACCTTATAACTTCACTTAAAGAAAAACAAAATTATTTTTTGAAGCTGATAATGACCCAATTCTTGTCAAATCCATTGACTTCTCAGAATTTACCATTTGTGTCTTTCATGTGGCTTTAATATTGTTGACCAGTTCATCCTCCTTGAAGCTGTCCCCTCTGATTTTCTTCTTTCCCTCTTTTGTCCTTCCTTCCATCTCCTCACCCATCCACTGGCTGTGCCATGCCAAAGTACTTTTCAGGGCCCTGCACTAGTGTGTCTCTGAGTGGGCTCTTCTCAACATCTCTTGCGCTCTTATCCAAAATGTACCTTCTTCCCCGAGGGCCTGCCTAGAACAGCTCCATGATCCGCAGTCATTTACTTGGTGGCTTATTCACTGTGGAGATGCTACCTGTGGCTACAGAGGGATAGTTTTCAAACCCACATCTCTGGTTCTAACCACTCAGCCTTGCTGCAATTCTGTATCTGCAGGTGTCTGCAGGGCATTGCCACTTCTGGTAACTGCCATCCAACACTGGGTTCATCAACTTTTCCAGTCTCAACTTGGCTGTTCTCAATTACAGGAAGCATGACTTTTCTGCCAGTTGGGCTATTAAGATGGTTGGACTATTATACTTGCTTCCGCATGCTATCTGCTGTGATATGACATCTCAAGTCACCTTGGGATCCATTGTACACTGTGAAAGAACAAGAGTGAAAAAGGCAAATAACAGCATCTTGGTATCATTAGAAAAATGATCCTAAAGCTCTCAGGGACCTCTGAAGGTGTCAGAATCACATTTAAAAAATCATGTAGAGGGCTATTGCCTTTTTCGAACCTGACATTTTATTTTTCTTGTTCACAATCTTTCAATTTTGGTTTGAAGTTTATCTAAGGAAAGTTCAAAATCAAACAGAATCATGTAGTCAGAATCTAATATTTACTAATGGAATTCAGTCTCCAAGGTTTGAGAACACATCAGATGATAAAGTGGTAGCTTTTAAAAAATCATGTTAAGCTTTCATGCTCATGGAAATCAGGCTACCCTTCATTGTTTTCTCCAATTCTGCATTTTCATCTCTCATTCTGACCATGTGTGTTGTAATTTTCTCCAATGCAAAATTAAAATTTTATTCTGTGTTAATGGAGGGAAAATGGATATACAGGAAATAGTTCTGATGCTAAATTCCATCACTGCAACTTTTCCCTTCTTTTTCTTTTTATTTGGTAAACTGAGTTCTGCTATGTGCTCAAACTGCTAGATGCTGGCGGTTACTAAATTTGCAGACAAAATGGTTCCACCCTTGAAATCATATCCTAGTATGAACACAGACTTCAACACTAGTAAGTACAGTATAATGTGCCTTTTCTTTTTAAGTTGGGGTCTCATTTTGTTACCCAGGTTGGAATGCGGTGGCATGATCACAGCTCACTGCAGCCTCAACCTCCTGGACTCAGGCAATCCTTCCACCTCAGCCTCCTGAGTAGCTGGGACTACAGAAACACACCACCATGCCTGGATAATTTTTTTATTTTTTGTAGAGACAAGGTCTTGCTATGTTGCCCAGGCTGGTCTTGAACTCCTGGGCTCAAGCGATCCTCCTACCTCAGTCTCCCTAAGTGCTGGGATTACAGGCACAAGCCACCGTTCCCAGCCTGGGGGCCTTCCATTTGATGACACTCCTAAATCCAACCGAGAAGCAGGCACAGCCTCAGCCAATGCACCTTCTATGGATGTCTCATCTACACAGGTCATGGGGTCCAGGTCAGAGTTTGGGGGGATCTTCCCTTGGGCAGTCTTGTGAACTGAAATTCTGGGGCCACATGAGTGGCCTCCAGGGATTGATGGATTTTCCCTTTAGCTTTGCTTTCCTTTAGGTGAATAAGTTGGAGCTCTTCTAGTGAATGGAGACCATGTTTTATGAGCTCCTAGCCAGACAGGAGTTGTTGGACATCCAGGGAGATGCTCAAATCCATCATTTCTGCTGTTTGGCAATGTTACCTCTGTTCTCAGAAAATGCGTAAGTGCTTACAGCAGCCTTAGTGATCACGGTACTTGTGTTCTAGCTGTTAAAATAATACGAGAAACCAGAAACTAAGTTATGTGTGTATTTGAGAGAACCAACTGGCATTTTATAACTCCGATTCAGAGTGGAATTCCATTACTAATTTTTTTTTTTGGGTCTCTGGACTCATGAACCTACCCATAATACCAGTAGCATCACATAAAATTTTTAGAGATGACATCAGATTTTAAAAAATGGAACAAGCATGCTATTTCACCACAGATGAACCATCAGTGACAGGGCTACTCGAGTCCACCAGCATACCTTTTAAGTAAGACGAATCACACATATTTTTGGCTATTTGTGCACAAATGTCTAAGTGTGATGACATTTGTGCACAAGTAGCCAGGGTTGATGAATTAAACAGGAAACGTGTGCTGAGCTTGAGATTTCACAACCCAGGCAATGGCTCACAGACCCGTCCCAACTGTACCCTGGGGGAAATGAATGTAGGTGGAAAAGAGGGGATAACATCACTATCCTCTGTTACTTTCCTATTTCTCTTAATAGCAAAGTGCCTAAAGGCAAATGAATGGGAAATAGCTGTCAAAGGGTAGTACAGAAGTAAAACTGGCCTCTAGGTGGTGCTTGGATGCAGCAGAGGGAAAGCTAGCACTCTTCTGGGAGAAAGGGTATCTATCAGCTGAACCTCAGTAACCTGCAGGCTCCAGGGTCAAGACTGCACCTGCTGTTACCTGTCTCCACAGGTGCTCACTAGTCCACTTTCACTTCTTTTTTCACCTATTCCTGTGCCAGTTTTGTATTCCATTTATAGCTTATGTTGATAAGTCATCACCATTTAAAGTCAACAAACAGGGGAGCAAAACACACTTACTCAAAGAACTTTGGCCAAGCAGGTCATTCTGCCACGAGGCTTTACTTAGAAACATCTGCCCACCCCTCCCCCAGCTTCCTATTCGCCCAGCACTGTCCTGTCCAGTTGCAGCAGGTTGGACCTGCTGGAGCTAGGGTTTTGTTTGCTTGAGGTGAAATTTATCCCAAGGGAATGTTTTATCTTTATTATTATTATTATGGATAAAGTTTGAAAAAAGGTATTACAGCTGCTACATTTGATATCAAATACTAATCTGTAATTCCTGTTTAAACATTTGCCATCAATAAAAAGACAACCCCCCCATAAATCGTAATAAAATGTGGGCAGACGTGTGAATCCACACAAATCTCCTAGTCACGATCACATGCCCATTGAAGAGGGAAGTTTTAGCATAAAATGTAAGAATCTATAGATCCAGGCGAGTTTTAACATATATTTTTTTATTAAATATGTAAAAAGATCAACGCAAGTCAAGTTATTCACATATTCAGAGACAAAAAAACTATTCTACCATGCGACAGTAGGTGGGTAATGGAAAATGAATGTGATACATCTGAATAAGACTTTTTCATCTATTATGTCATTACTTATCTATATTTATAATTAACAATTCATATGTTTACATTCCTTTCAGTTTACATTTAATATATAACAAAAGTTTTATGGTGTACTATTTAGTAAAAGTAATCTGAATGCATATTAAACCTTAACGGAATAATGGAAATACTCACCAGGGAAGGGAGGAATTCTTGGTTCCCTTCTGGAGTTTACTTCTCTCGGGTCAACAGGGTGTTGCCTTGTCTTTTTTTTTTCCTGCTTTTCTGCTTATAATAAACATGGGCTTTCTCTTTGCCCCCTGCTTCAATCACTTCCTATCTGACAGTAGCAGCAGAAGTGCTATAACCAGCCAACAGTGGGCGTGAAGGGGGACTAAGGATGAAATAAGGCTTCCTGAGGGGAGGAGAGGAACACACACCCAGGGACACTACTCGACCCAGCCCCATGACATGTGACTAGGGTCATGGAGGAAAGTGTGTCCTGAATGCCAAGATGAGAGAATGATGGAGCCGCCCTACTCATGGGAAATGAGTGGGGGTCTGCACGGAGACTGGGGGTACAACCCAAAAGAACTGACTCAGAAACCCAGCTGTTAAAGATGCCCCCAAATCATCCATGACATCATCTGGGGTGCAGCATGACAGAAGATGTTAAAGACGGGGACAGAAAGAGGAACTTACAGCTCTTCTTTAACTAAATGGAGTGTCTGCCCCAAGCCTTCGGGAAGGAGAATGGAGTATGGTGACTAGGGAAGGCAGAGAGATCTGGCTAGCGTGTTTATCAGTGAGAAGGTTGGGGAGCTGGAGAGGAACTGGGGTGCTTCCGGCAAGAGTCTCCAGGGAGGCATATGCAAGTTACACAGTAGTAAGCGGTTTTTGGAGAAGACAGGATCCTGACCTCCTGCTGCCCATGCATGTGCCTCCACACGACAGGAGCTTGGTCACGATCTCCCAGGTATGGCTGAGATGTCCAGAGCAGGCGAAGGATGGCCTAGGAACCTCTAAAGTGTCATCTGCATGGAGTCATGTACTGTGCCTTTTATAAGAGCTACTTTAACGAAAGAGAAATCAGTGAGTAGGGCACCGCGCTGTTAAGCATGATGCTGTGTATAGCACGGCCACTAGCTGTGACCAGGCATGGGAGGACGTCACTGCCGAGGGCCAGGCTGTCCAGCCTTAGAGAAACAAGTTGCTGCTGTAATGCAGAGTGAGCAGGAGAGAGAAGAAAGGGAAACCAAACACCACGAACATCTGTCCAATTCTGCACAGTGTGTTGTAATAATCTCAAAAATACAAGCCATCTTTTCCACATATAACTCAATAAATACCACTTTGCTGCAAAAGATTTATTTTGGAAAGACTTCTTTTGGTGAAAAACTTCAATGTTAGAATTTAGAATTTGTATTTCATCAATTAATAAAGAAATTTCAGAGCTTTATGATACATAATCTAGAAATTTATTTTAACCTTTTCAGTTAAGTGGAAAGTGGGGTGGGCACATTTGTTTCTTGTTTTTGTTGCACCTGCTAAGTCAAATAACAAGGGAAAGTAAACCTAAAGTTAGAAACCAAGTGAAATGAGTGATACAAGAAAGGATACCATCTGTCAAAGGGAAAAATAAAAATAAAGAGAGGCAAAGATTTGGAAAGAGACTAAGAAAATGTGCAAATATTAGTTAAAAAAATAAGGAATGCTTTTAATTCATTAACGTTTCCTCTATTTATGAATTGCCATGGTTCAGCAAAGGTCAATGGCAAGGAGGGCCCTTGTGTTAAAGAGGGGAGATTCCTCATTCCAGAAGATACTAGGGGTCATAGGTTTTCCTGTGCTGTTGTTCCAGTGTCAACACCAGACTGCAGAGCCATGATTCCCCCTTGGAATTACACTCCCATGAATAAGGTCTTCACTTCCAGCCTTCCAGCAAGTACGCAGTGTGATGCAGAAGCCCGGAGCTTGGAGCTCCACACCCTGAATGTCCTTCAGTGGCAGTCCCCTAGCGTGAAGGACAGTTCTTGGGCTGAAACTCACACAAGACGGGAGAGGGACGAGACAGGAAGACCTGGACCTACCCAGACTCCCTCTGGACTGCAGAAAACTGATGACAACATCTTAGGGAGAGTGGCTGCCCATCAAAGAGGACCCTGAGAAAGAAAAATAGCATGAGAACCTGGGAGAGGGGCATACAGAGAAAGGGCAAAGTTGAGACAGTGTTTTCCTTGAGTGAATGTCTTTCAAAGCTAACAACATACTATATGGGTGTCTAACATGCTGATGTATGAATACTGCTGGGCCCTGAAGTCCTAGCTTTGAATCCATTTTTTTCCCTTTAGTGTTGTGAGTACAGGGAGAAACTGACCCTATGTTTTTCCCCACGACACAAGTCACTGTCATTATGGCTTTCATATCAAGTATCTGTTTCCCTTTGCTCCAATTAATTATTTACCAATTTTACGTTCAGAGGTTAGACTTGCAAACATCAAAGCACCACAAATGCGTGTGACATCTAGTGACACTGGGTTGAGAAATGCCAATATAAATACCATATATCAAATTACCACTGTTTCACACCAGGATAAAAAGGGGGGTGGTGGCAGTGGTGGTGGTGGGGTGGGGAAGAGTTGTTCTGGAAAGAAATGAAGAAGAGAGCAGAACCAATCTCAAGCAGCCAAGTGGTGAAGTTGGATGTATGTGACCCTACGATCTTTTGGGTAGGCGGCCAGGTGGCCGTCTGCTAACACATCTTGGCAAAGAAAATGGGAACCAAGTGCAGTGGCTGGCGTGTGCAACAGTGCGTTGATGGTAACGGCAGGTTGGGAACAACTGGTTGCTGTTGAGTCTGAGGCCACACATGTTCCAATTCTCCAGAAGAAACGTTCCCATGCACAATGGAAGTGTCAAGAGCTGCCAGGCGGGTCAGTACTCTTCCTGCTGTTGGGGCAGCTGTTCATGGGCTTGTTCCTCTGCTTCCGGCTCTTCTGTGTGGCCCTCCTGTGGGGCAGGAGAGATTTTTCAGCTGAAATCATTTACTGTGTATGGGGCCCTGCAGCATCCCAGCCCACTGTCACCACCAGCACCAGGCTTGGGCACAACTTATCATGCAATGTCTCCCAGATCTCAGGGGTCAATATACACACAGGGAGGCCTAACTTCCCCTGTCACCAAAGAACAAATCATTCTAGAAAGCAGAGTCATTAGGCTTTAAGCACCCGACTTTTTTTGTGTTTTGGAAGGAAATCTTCAAAGAATACACTGCATACTTTCCTGCCCTCTGTCAGAAAATAAACCAAACTCAATGACTCAGGAGTATCACGACAACCATGAATGAAGCTGTTGGCATATGAAACGCACCCCACCCCGGCCTCCACGACATGTTGGGAGTCACCTGCACTAATGGTCCAGGATACAGGGCTCTTGCTCTGTGTCCTAGTCCTTACCCTGCTGTCATTCTTCTTGCCTGGTAGTGTCAGTCTGAAGGACACCCTTTGCTATAATCTGTTCCTAATCCTGGCACGTATAGAAGTGCTCGTGTCCTCTCTCACCTGTGCCTGATCCTGAACACCGGATGCCCCATGCCCTCCCCTACCTGTTGGTCCTGACTGCCTGGAGCCTAGGACAAACCCGACTATATCCAATTTCAACACAGTATGACTATCTCCCCAGGCTGCTGAGATGGGAGAACATTCTCTCTCCTCCTGCAGAACTTTTCTCCCTCTGCTAGGAGACTCTGGCTGGGAATCTTGTTTGTCTTGACCCTTTTGTTCTCACCCACTGGATCCTGAGGTTCCTGAAGTCAGGGACAGGGTCGCATGGCCCCTGTGCCATATCTCGCTTACTGTATGACTCAATCCATGTTGTTTTGAAAGGAAGAAATCACAGTAGATTCAGGAGTGGATGACCACGACGACCAGCCTCGCAGCCAAGGGCACAGGCCGCTCACTTTCTGAGGTGGTGTAATGTCAAGGTTATGAGTGTGGACTCTGGAGTTCACATCTCAGTCCTGCTATTTACAAGCTGTGGGAGTTTGGGCCTAAAACTTAAGTGCTCTGGACCATAGTTTTTTCATCTGTGAAACTGGAGATAACAGTACCCAAGTAACAGAGATGTTAGTGTTTCCTTGATCAATGAATCAATGAATTCACTGAATCCAATAGAGGAGTTAATGAGTTAAAATAGGTAAAGTTCCCAGAAGAGTATGTGACACATAGTAAATATAAGTGTGAGCTGTAATTATTATTTCTTAGTGGGAGAACTTTTTGGAATACATTTTAGAAGTACAAATATTTTTTAAAAAGCAATCCTTTCGCCGGGCTCGGTGGCTCAGCCTGTAATCCCGCGCTTTGGAAGACTGAGGTGAGTGGATTGCCTGAGCCCATGGGTTTGAGACCCGCCTGGGCAACTTGGCGAGACCTCACCTCTACAATAAATCAAAAAACTAGCCGGGTGTGGTAGTGTGCACCTGTAGTTCCAGCTACTTGGAAGGCTGAGGTGGAAGGATCACCAGAGCCCAGCAGGTCGAGGCTGCAGTGTCCAGGAGCGGCCACTGCACTCCAGTCTGGGTGACAGAGTGAGACTCCAACTCAAAAAAAAAAAAAAAAAGTAACCCTTTCTGTGACAACCAACAGGAGAAAGTGACATTGTGCTGAAGATTCGGTACCAAGGCCGGCACTGTTCTTTACTGGCTCTGTGTTGAGAGGCACGTCATTCGGTAACATGAGCTCTCCCCAAACCTGTGCCACCCTCTGCTGTCCACACCTCGAATGGCTCCACCTCTGGAACGTTAAGACCTAATTTCCTGCTCTCTCTGAGCAAGGTGCATTTCTGACCCTCGCTCTTTAATTCCTTAACTGCAGATGCTCTCTGACTTCAGGGAGACATCACAGCCCTGAGCCCTCTTAAGTCCTCTTCTGACAGATCAGCCCTGGACCCCTGGCATTGTGACAGCTGAGCTCTTGGCAGCAACCTCTGCACGCTGCCTTGCAGTCTGCCTGGCCCACGCGAGGGTGATCCTTCTCTCAGTTCAAAGAGCCAGTGCCTCAACTGACAGTGAGACTGCACACTCTTACGGGGAGTAGGAGAGTTTCTTGCTGGGACAATGCAAGACAGGAAATGGAAACCAGCCTCCCTCAGTCAGTGCTCTCCTCTCATCTAGGGGAGAAGAACAAGACTGATGCTCGTGGGAGTTCAACAGGGATGGTGAACTGGGAACTCTCAGCTGTCTGCTCTGCCGCAGGTTGCTCTAAATTACGAAAATGCCACTCCTTTCTGAAGCCTCTCTCACTGCCTCTGTCTCCTCCTTCCAAGCTCCGCACCCTTGGTTCTTGTTTTTGTGGGAGGGCACACTGCAGCCCAGCCTGCATTCCTGCTGGATGGCTACATATTTGCCTCTCCAGCCGGGATCTCAGCCTCTACAGGTGAGTTACATTGCTTTATTTATCATTCTGACCCTTGAACACTAGCGTGGTGTCTTCATACTATACTGCTCAAACTTCAGCTGGTCTGGGTGTGCTTTTCTGACATCATTATTGTGCGTGTTCGACTGCTGAACAGATCTTGGAAAAGAGGATCTGTTTTACATTTTTCTCACATCACATATGGGGGTTAACTGTGGGATAACAGAGTTAGCTGAAGTTGAAAGACTGGGATTCAAGTAACTGTTGAGCCTGTAACAAGCTGTAGGACCAGAAGCCCTAGGCAAGGCCTTCTTTCCGAACACGTCCACCAAGGGGTGGGTTCACTGCCCTGTCTATGGCTCTGAGGTTTGCAGCTGGCCCAGGGCAACTTGCCATGCACACCTGGCTGGAGTCCCAGGACAAGACATGGCTGCCAGTGATGTCATACATTTGCAGGAACTGTGGTGCCCAGACTACTCTTCCTGGGCAGTATCAGACTAAAGAGCACACCTCCCAGATTACCAATGGGTTGCTCCCGCTTGGGGTGCAAGTGAAGGCAGTCTTAAGCCTGGCAGAACACGTCTCTAATTCTGAGAGATGTTACACATCACAGCTGAGAGCTCCCAGCCCACACAATGCTATTGCAGGCTCAAATAATTAAAAAAAAGGATATTTTTCTCATGTCTCATATAAGACTGAAGAACTTAAACCCACGTGCAGGTAGGAGGCCAGGCAAAACCTATGCCATATATGGGACTCATACAGTGGCGAGCTACCTACTTGATTCTAGTGTGTGCATATCAATGCATCACCTTTCTAAATGTTTAGTTGTGAGGGACTGAGTTACAGGTCTTTATTCTTGTAATTATTAGAAAGAGAAGCAAGTTGCTTCCAAAAGGCTCTTGGCCATGGTAAGAGGAAAATAGGGGTCAAGGAGGGAGGAGGGCCCACCAAGAAGTGCCAACGCCCTCTGCTCCCATAGGAAGTGCCACCCTGCAGCCTCCTCTCCTGCCACTCATGCCAGCAGGAGCGGCTGGTCTCTCTTCTCTGCCTTCATGCTGTTTCCTCTCTGCCTGAAGAACACCCTGTCTCAACTCTATAACAGCTGGTGTTCCCAGGCATACTTCAACAGCCAACACAAATGCCATCTTCCCTGTGAAGTCTTGGTGTGGCCTTCCAGGCTGCTTTTATCTGCTCCCCACACGAATTTATTTATGTCTCCATTATCACACTTCTCATGGGCTGACACACATTCCAGTTAGTCATGTCCCTGTCTGTCTCCCTCACTGGGGCTGTAAGCTCTTCTGAGATGCAGTTGTGTCTTTTTCTATATACTCAGTGCTTAGCCCGGTGACAGAACCACAGCCTGTTCCCAGAAAGCATTGGTTGAAGGAGCAAGAAAGTCCATATGTCATTTTAACAGCAGCTTCCACGTCAGTCAGGACCTCAGGAAACATGTAACTGTCCACAAGCTGGTGCACCTTGGCTGACAATGACTAGACCCAGGTTCCTGTGGCCCCAAGCATCAAGGGACAACATCATGAGAATGATAAATGTCTGTTCTGGACACCTCCACCAGGTTTCCACAGTTGGAACCTTAGCCACCTATGTTGGTTTCCCTACTCACAGCTCTCATCTGGATTTTTACATCTTCCAAACATCCAGGACGGCTTGACTATGACAATAAGAGACCAGTCATCGCCAAATAAAAGTTATGCATCATTGCTCAGTGATAGATCCCCTCCAGCAAACCTGAAATGTCAGTGCACGATCACCTATGTTTAACTGAAGAGCATGTGCTACCAGCCCTCATTTTTCTCTAGGAGGCCCTGGGAAGGGCAGACAACCAGGCATCTCTGCCATCTCAGATCCATGCACAAGGCCATACCAACAGCACCATGAGCAGAGCACTGACACTTCTTCCCAGACACCATGAGCATCATCCCAGCACGTAGGTACAAGTCCACTGCCACCCAAGTATGGGGATGGCCGAAAAATAGGACGCAGCATCAGGACCAAGTACAGTGGGGCCAAAGCAGGATTCCCAGAGCTGAGGGTAGAGTATACGGTGGCATTGTATCCACTGAGCATGTTTTCCAAAAGTGATGCTTTCCAGACCACAGACTCGAGGGGAAGGGGTGCAAGGGTAGCAATTTTGGGAAGGCTCACTTGCGCCAACAGCAGGACCTGTCTATGCTATGGAAGGCTGCATCAGACACAGGATTCCTTATCCTCAGGGAGAAAGACAAGCGTGTGAAGGCTTTTGGGTATCTAGGATGATTCCTTAAGCCTTTAGGCCAGGAAGCAGAAAGAACTGTAAGCTGGCTGCTCCCAAGCCTCTCTGTCAGCAGAGCCATGCATTCATGGTACATGGAGAGTCCCAGAATGGCATCCAGGCACACTGCTGTCTTCTCTTTCTGTCTGTACAAAATCCAAGGTTTGAAAAACGTGGGTGTTGTCACATGCTAAACACGGACACCTGGCATATTCCAGATCAAACACTTATTTGCCGTAGAAAATTCAGTGTAGCCTGTTGTGTCTCTTTTGGAGTTTTTCAGACACATAGCTGCAATAAAAAATATCCTGGAACTAGAAAAATTAAGCCAGCAACTACATTTGAAGATCTTGTTCTGGTAACCCACATAGATAGTTTATGTTAAGGCTGTTTTCTCTTCCAGATTCTAATTGCCTGGTTACACCAGGCAATTCTCTTCTTGGATTTTGGATACTCCTTAGCATACACTCACAGGGCCATGCCAGTCTCTCTCCCTCCCTCAAACATCTTTCTATTTGATGGTATCAGCCCTGTGCCAGAGATATAACAACAAAGGTGGGTTTAAAAAGTCACTGACTAGCCAGAAGAAAGCCAAAGTTCTCCATGGATGCTGATTTAAACAGATGAATGCACAGAGAAAGAGGCCACGCCTAGACTTCTGAACATGTAAACCAATAAAATGGTCAAGGTGTTATTTGGAGAAAACCCAGGTTGGAATTCCTTCTTCACTTGCAGGGCATGTTCACCTGAAGGTTGTCAAGCTGACAGTCCATCTTGGGGATTTCCCCAAGTGGTATGATCTTTATTTTCTCCTTGTCCTGTGGAACCCAATATGCTGAGAGGGAGGTAAACAGGCCTTATGATTTTAGGCTCTGAGTCAGATAAACCTGGCTTCAAATCCTAATGTTGAAGCTTATTAGCTGTGAATCATTGGGCAGGCAATTTCATCTGTAAAACTTAGAGCAACAGACTTCACCTCATAGGGATGTGGTTAAGATCAGAAATGTTGGCAGGACTTGAATGCAATATCTAGCACAGGCTCAATAAATGTTAGCTATTACTACTGTCATGATACCATTTAAGAGGGGGCCCAACCTTGGAGAAGGGAGAGTGTGAACTCATAAATCAGACTTTAGGGTTAAATACAAATTACGCTGCTCAAAAACTTGGGAAAGGTATTAAACCTCTTGACAGCCTTAGTTTCCCTCATCTGTACATTGGGATAACAATATCTACCTAACGGGACTCTCAAGAGAATTAGAGGAGCTAATAAATTAACATACATGAAGTCCCGGGCCCTTTCCCCTCAAACTCCATCTCAGGAAAGAACCTGCTAAACCCATTATTCAGTCCTAATGACTAGTGAGGCTCTAAGGTGTTATCTTTCCCTGGAGTATCTGCATTTTAGCTGCACATACACTGCAAGAAAGGCTCCCAGAATCCAGATGGCAGCAAAGTGGTATGTGTGGTGGGAGTGGTAATGGGAATGGCACAACCGAAGCTGAGAGTGGTCAGCTGGACAGACCCCCTGAAATTACACCCAGAGCTCTCTTGTCTGAGGCCACCTGCCTATCCTTAGCCAGGAATTCAGCAGTCCGCTCTAACTCTTCACTTGGGGTTCACTGTCGGGTGACAGTGCTCCTGCACAAGGGCTCCCTCTTGGGACAAAATCTGGCATGAGGTTAGAATCAGAAGGTTTTCCCTTCTGCTGGAAGTGCGGGGTGGGAAGCAGAGTCGATCCTGCAGGCTGGCCCTACTCCCACTAGGGGATGCAGGCAGGCATTACCTTAGATAGACACTCACTGGGCCTCTCGCTGCTGTGCAGATCTCATCCGATTTAGCCTCAGACAAGCTCGTGAAGAGAATAACCATAATCATCTAGAGTCTGGTAGACTGCAAGTACTCAGCACATACAGAACATCTCATACATGTCATTTTGGTGGTCACAGACATACTAAAAACCAGCCTCTGGTTTCTTCTATCATATCTGAAGATACCAAGAACCGCATTTTGCCATCATGGCCATCACAGCCGCTGGGGCCTAACCAGGTGGACTTGCAGGGCTTCCACATCTACATTCTGAGCTACTGATAACCGAGAAAGAAGTTTTAAAAAAAAAAACAACTTAGCCGGGCTCGGCGGCTCAACCTGTAATCCCGCGCCTTTGGGAGGCTAAGGTGAGTGGATTGCCTGAGCCCACGGGTTCGAGACCCGCCTGGGCAGTGAGACCTCATCTCTACAATAAATCAAAAAATCAGCCGGGTGTGGTAGCGCATGCCTATAATTCCGGCTACTTGGAAGGCTGAGGAGGAAGGATCGCCGGAGCCCAGCAAGTTGAGGCTGCGGTGGCCGGGAGCGGCCACTTCACTCCAGTCTGGGTGACAGAGTGAGACTCCAACTCAAAAAACAAAAACAAAAACAAAATAACCTTGGGGAAATGGGAAAAAAAATGGTGGAGAGCTCCCAAACCCCAGACACAGTTCCTTACAGTTTAGGATAATTTCACTGCTAGCATTCTGAGTCATGAATGGAGTAAATATGCCTGATATTCAGCTGGAATAAGGCACGTAAACTTGCTGATGCCTTGCTACATTCTGTGGGGATGAATACCAACACGTGTAAGACTCCATCGTCAGTCCCTAAAGCAGCACAGGCCTCGAGGCAAGAGGCCCAGCCACTACTACCAGCTTCCACCCAGCTTAAGGAGAAGGTTGACACTGGACCCCTCACTGCCACCTTCCCTAACTCAGCTCTGGGGACAGTGAAGGCCATCAGGAGCTCCTGCAGGGCCTCTCCCTCCCAACATGGGCAGAACCAGGAGACTGGCTTCAGTCTCCACCTTTCATCCTGCCCCTTCCGTTTCCCACCTCTTAGATCCTTTTTCCTCCCCTGTGTCTCACATCTGCTTTTCAACACCCTGGCAAAGCCACATCCGGGTCTCCCTCAGCACTCATGAGCCGCAACTCTGGTGGCAGGTCTCCCCACAAAGGAAACTTTCTGGAAATATTTTCAATAAAGGGCTGGCCCACCATTCTGGTCTGTCCTGGCAGGGAGTAACAAGACAACGAGCTGTCTGTGAAAAACAGACAGTTGTGGGGTTTATGGGAATGGGGAAAAATCTAGCTTGTTTTATCCTTGAACCACACTCTGATCTTTCATTAAGAAAGAAGAATCGATATAAAAATTCTTACTGTTCATTTGCTCGGAGCTGAAGACCACTTGGGATTTGGCTGCATATGTATTTTTCTCAGTTAAAGCTTCCCCTGTTCCACCCATTTCTTCCCAGATTAATTTATGAATGCACGGCCCATAGGCCTGGGTCAACCGATTGTGATGATAATGCTGTTTATTCCTTTGGGAATACCAAATGCATTTAGCTAAGCTGTAATTCTCATGGAGGGCCCAGGGATGTGTTCTAAAGCATGTTGATGCACTGCACCTTGACCAAGAGAATCATTTTAGAACACAGGACTCAAGGGCTCCTCATACTCACGTGTTCTTCTGAAGCGTAGAGGACTTCCATGAGTCGCTGCACGAGGTCATCATTTTCCTGCCCATGTTCCTGGCAGAGGAGCTCAATCTCTCTCAACTTCCCAAAGTAGAAATCCCTTTCCTTTTCCACACCTTCAAGGGCAAGTTTTAATGAATGTACCTGCAAGAGAGTGACAGTGGAGATGAAAAACCTCAAAATATAATATAAGAAATAAAATTTAAAAAACTAGCCAGGTATGGTGGTGCACACCTGTAGTCCCAGCTACGAGGGACACTGAGGCAAAAGGACTATCTGAGCCTAGCAGGTTGGGGCTGTGGTGACCATGAACGTACCACTGCTCTCCAGCCTGAGTGAGAGTAAGACCCTGACTCAAAAGAAAAAAAAAAAAGGAATAAGTGACCAATAATTCTTGTGAATAAAGACCCAAAACGTATGGAGAGAGACACGCAGAAATATCCAGTATGTAAGTCTGAGGGAGAACAACAGAGTTGTTGTCTAGGGCTTGTGCCTAGGCCAGAAAGTCCAGTTTCCATAGCATGCTAGTCATTCCCTTCAGTCAAATGAGTGTTTATTAACTAGGGTCAGGGGATCATTCTGCTTGCCGGGTTCCACCCGGGCTAAGAGTGAGCTTTTCTCTCTTGCTGACATGGGCTGGAACACATTTTTCTCTTAATTTGTTGTTATGGTATGAATGTTTGTGTCTTCCCTTGCCCCAAATTTATATGTTAAAATCCTAATCCCCAATGTGATGGTACTGAGTCGGGCCCCTGGGAGGTGACTAGGTCATGAGGGTGGAGCAGGAGCCCTCAGGAATGGGATCAGTGCCCTAATAAAAGAGGTCCAAAGGTGATCATTCAGCCTCCCAGCATGTGAGGATCCAGGGAGCAGGCACCGCCTATGAGGAATGGGCCTTCAAGCAGACACTGAATCTGCTGACGTCTTGATCTTGGACTTCCCAGCTTCCAGAACTGTGAGAAACAAATTTCTGTTGTTTATAAGCCAGCTAGTGTCTGGTGTTCCACTACAGTAGCCCAAATGGACTAAAACTCTTGCTCACAGACTGCAAGGAAAAGAGTGAGAAGAGGGTGGAGAAGTAAAAGACAGGTCGTAAAGATGGTTATTTAGATTTATGTTGAGGACCATCCTTTCTTCAATCACCTGCACTAAGAACTGCCTTTTACATGTGATACTGAGCCATGCTAGGCAAATACTCTCTAGTGAGAAATCAGAGCTTGCTCACAAACTGGACGAGACTGAAAGCCTGGCTGAGTGGCTCCATCTTGATTTCTCTAGTTCGAGCTTTGGGTGCATGGCTGAAAAGGCGGGAAGACATGCAAGCCCATTCCCTCAGCAAAAGAGCCCCCATTCCTTCTCTTTTTCCCCCTTGATGCTGGTTCAAGGACTTCCTGGGCTGTAAAGCTTCTAAAGGTGGCTACAGAGACAGCGCAGGTGAAAGAGAGGAGGCAATGGTCAAAGAAGGTCTGGCAACTCTAGTGCCTAGGCTGAAGAAACTCTGAGGGGGTGTGCCTGGATCTGGCTTCAAATCTCAGGCAACCACACTCCTAACGGGCAGCAGCTACACACAGGCCCAGTCTATCACCCTGTTCCTGACCTCTGAGATTCTCCTTCCTTTTTTATCCTTTATTCACTTATTTTTATGTGCTATATATTCTTTAGGAGGTCAATTGAGTCTTTCATGGTCCTCCTTAGGTGAACTCTCTCTCAGTATACTAAAAATCACCCTTAACAGAATTTTCAAAAATTACCTTTGGGATCCAGAATTTTCTCCTCTCTCCTTCTAATAATTATGGGCCTTTGTATATGCTACTTATCAGTCTAGAATTAGTGATTCATTTGAGCATACACTGAGTATATGCAGTTCCCTTCCTGTGCACCTGGCAAACTTGTATCCATCCTGCAAGACTCAGGGATACAGGGGTTCCTCTGTGTGGAACTCACTAATGTCCATATGTAGGTGCTCATGAAGCAGTGGAGAATCAGTGTGCTAACTTTCAACTCTTATTTCTGTTAATATTATAGCTTGGACATTTGTTAAAAAGTAAAAAAACTCGAAAAAGCAAAAATAAAACAAAAACCACAAAAAAGATAACTGGCTTGAATTCCAGAAAGAAGAAAATTTTTATTCTAAAAATCCTTTCCTGCTTTATTTTTATTTTGAGTTGGGGGGTCTTACTCTGTCACCCAGGCTGGAGTGCAGTAGCATGACCATGGTTCACAGCAGCCTTGACCTCCTGGGCTCAAGTGATTCTTCCACCTCAGCCTCCCGAGTAGCAGGAACTATAGGTGCACACCACAAAACCTGGTCGTTTTTGTTTTTTTTTTTTGTAGAAACAAGGTCTCACTATGTTTCCAGACTGGTCTCAAACTTCTGGGCTCAAGCAATCCTCCTGCCTCAACCTCCCAACATGTTGGCATTACAGATGTAAGCCATCACTCCTGACCCTTTCCTGCTTTAAATAAACTACCCTCTCCCTGGGCTTGGCCACAGAATCCATCTCAACCCTGTGTTGGTGCTAGCAGATGAATCCTTGGCAGCTCAGAGTGCCACTACTTCCCAGGTCTCTGTTCTAGGAAAGGACATGTTCAATACATGAAAACTAGGTTTGTCACCTCCTGTGTGCTTTGGTCTACACAGTGAGCAAATTGTGGTGGCTTCTGTAGAAACGCCCAGCCCAATTCAGGCTCTGGTGATATTCTAGACACACATCAGGTTAACAGGTGCTGCTACCAACACTGTCTAGTGAAAACCAACAGTAGCTAACTTATAAGGCAGGGGATTCTCAAAAAAAATAAAAGGATAATTTGTTGGAGGGGGTGGGCTCCTTGTAGTACAGGATTCCTCTGCTTGATAAGTGTTGTAGAAAACCATCAGCATCAGTGTACCAGCTACTGTTGTTGTGAGAAGTTGCATTGTGTAAGAAACATCATGAGTTATGGCAATTAAATGACTGCTTCTTTGATCATGACAATGCACCTGCCTACATCCTGCTGAGTGTTCAGTAGTTTTTGACCAAAAGCGACATGGACCTCCATGTCCCATCCTCCCTACTCACCCAATCTTACCCCAAGCAACTTTTTTTGTTTCCCCAAATGAAAAAAGTCCCCAAGGGAAACATTTTGCTGATGTGAAAGAGGTGAAACAAAAAACGGTAGAAGCACTAAAAGGCATCCAAGTTGAAAAGCTGTTTTGAGCAGTGGAAATAGCATCTTGATAGGTGTATTGCATCCAACAGAGAGTACATTGAAGGTGACTAAAGCTTAAACATATAAGAGTAAATACATACTTAATAAATAAATTCAGTTTTTTTGGGTCCCCTCTTGTATATAATGAAAGATCAACTGGCAAGTGAGAGTCCCTGTCACAATTCCACTACAAAGAGATGCCACCAGCCTCATCCCCCCTATGTCATGGCAGACACCTAAGATGCTTGGGATGGATCCCTGAGGAGAGTCCAGGGCAAGGGCCAAGGAGGGGTGTTTCTCTTCCCATGATTCTTCTAACTCCTCTCAGGGAGTCCACAGACTGCAGGTCGCTCCAGGCCACCATATTTGTCTGCCTGGACTAACCAGTGCCCACCCTATCACCCCATCGGCGGTCCCTGTGCACAGCAGGGACTCAAACCCACTTCCTGATGGCCAGCCTACAGTGTAGAAAGAGTCCCTGATTATGTCTTTTTCTCCCCTGTGACTTTTGATTTATTTCTATCCTTGGAAATGTTCAGCCTGGTGGAACCTCTATAGTGTATCATGGGAGACTGTCCAAGGAAAGGCAGGAGGTCAAATGAGTGGAAATCCTTAAGCTTTTCGGCACTTGTCACTTTCTTTATTACTGCTGTGATTCACCCTTCAGCCTCAGGACCCTCACTCAGACTCATCTCATCCCAGTGTTCTTGGTTTCAACACTGTGAAGCCTGTGAGGCCCCTACCAGCCTTGGGGGTAATCTGTTGGCTTCAAGGACAGGAACTGGAGGGAGTAATAACAGCTGGGTGTAAGTGCTTAGTAAATATTTGCTGATTGAGGAGCTCACAGTTTAGGGTGTGTCCTGAGGGACAGAGGACACAGTCCTCCTCGCCGTGAAGACATCAGGCGCAGGAAGGAGCAGTATGTCCTTTTGGAAGGAAATATAACAAGAAGAAGGAAGACCACTGGATTGCTCCTTTCTCTCTTACTTGATCCTCTCTGGAGTGGCATTTTGGCTAGTAGGATCATTTAGCAGAGGGATATTAGAAACCTGAGTCCTGTTCATGACCCGCCTGGGCAGGCGAGACCTCATCTATACAATAAATCAAAAAATTAGCTGGGTGTGGTAGCGTGTGCCTGTAATTCCAGCTACTTGGAAGGCTGAGGCGGAAGGATC